TCTGTAAGTTGATCATTTTAGTAACATTACCTACCTTTATGCCTTTTAAATTACGAGTTAAAGTAAAGAAGTCGTGTTTTTCTTTCCATTTTTATCACTGTGTTTTTACTGCCACGGCATTCATCTGTTTTTTTCAATGTAAATACTTTACTTGTTTGTTTATTGATACAAGGATTGAACAAACACAAAGACAACCCTTCGTCTCTTGGTTCGTTCGAGTTCAGTCGTTTTTTTTTGTTTTTTCGATCTTTATTACAATAAGGGTGCCTTCAAATTAGACGCTTGGAGATGCGCTGAAGTCCCATTTAAATTTAAAGATCCATCTCTAATTGTGGCAAACTAGGGGATGAATCCAGTTCGCGCACTTTTCAATGTAATTACACGAACTTTTTGAGATCGGTTTTTGTAGTACTCTGTACTGATTAGTTCACTAATTGTGACTGCAAAAGTGGTACGCGCGTATCACGGCAGTGGCGTCGCAGCATTTCTTTAATCATTTATCTAATTTGAAGGCGCCCTTATAATATCTGAAAAATACGCCGATCACACCGCCTTTTAATAATCCATCAGGCGCTGTCAACAACTGTACCATCGACGCATATGTCTAAATGGTACCTTTATAAACATTAAGCCGGCTTTCAAGGACCTAGTCCCGTTTCCTTGACACCATTGACACACAACACTATCGGTCAGGGTGTGTTCGATAAAAGCCTTAAATAAGGAGGCGACTCGCAAATGTTGATAATAACTGCGTTTTTTATGTTTGTGTACTCTGTTAATTTTTCTGTTGTTTTTATTTTCTGGGCACCACTAGACAAAAGGGCTAGTAGCAGCAGAGTTCCTTGTGAAAGAGTTCCACCGAGAAAGTACAGCCACCTTACCTATTTCTACTGCCAAGCGGTAATACTGTGTTCCGGTTTTGAAGGGCGCTGGTGAAATTACAGGCATTAATACACACCACATGTTGACAAGTACCATACTTGACAAGTATGGTACTTGTCAACATGTGGTGTATATTCCTATAGCAGCACCCTTCAAATATTTGCGATTTAAAGGTCTAACCCCCGTTCACACGGCATTGTACTGCACGTTTTTTTGCAGTAGGTGTAAATCCAAACCGAATAAACAGTAGCGCATACATTACGTTTTAGAACCGTACATACTGTGTTTGTCCTGTAAACGCACACACATCTAAACGCATACCGAATACCGCAAAAAAACGTGCAGTGCAATACCGTGTGAACAGGGGGTGAGTATCACTGCAACTGCTATGGACAGGCGTGTCGGTTACCACCAGCAGCACGACCTGTACGTACTGTCACTTGGTATCATAAAAAAAAGTAACAAGTCAGAGGCCCTAAGTGGCTCTCGACACTACTGGACACCTGGACACTTTCTTTCACTTTTGAATATTATCCCTTCCGTCCTTATATATATTCGAGATATATATTTTTGTCAAAAAACATAGTTATTCATTTACTTCAAAAAATGCTCCTTTTTAACTACTACATGCTTTCAAAGGAATTACTATAACATGTGCGTAAAATTATATAGTGTATTACCTGACTATATAAAAATGTTATCTACGTCTAGATTTAAGAAAATACTATTTTAATCGCTTATGACAAATTGATCTTATAATGTAAATGAGTTTTTGACATTTAAATTTTGAAGCCTGCGACCCTCTACATATTTATTGCTTTGACATGCGTTCCTTTTTTTTTATTAAATTATAATTTTTCTTTAATTGTATGAACAAAACTTAATTTTTATATTAATAATGTTGTTATTAATATTTGTATGCCAGTTACTGGCGCAACACACTGAACCGTAAGTGTAATCTTAAATATCTGAACTGTATTTACCGTGTATCATCATCGTCAACTCATTTATATCTCCCACTGCTGGGTACGGGTCTCCTTTCAGACGAAGATTTAGGCCATAGTCCGCCACGCTGGCCCAATGCGGGTTGGGGACTTCCCACGTTTTCCGAGGGTTGTGAACCTTCTTCGACGTGCAGGTTTCATCACGATGTTTTCCTTCCCCGAGAAGCTCATGATAAATTTCAAATTAAATTTCGCACATAAATTCCGAGAAACTCAGAGGTGCGAGCTCGGATTCGAACCCACGACCCTTTGCTTGAGAAGCAGTAGGTCAAACCAATAGGCAACTACGGTTTACCTTCTTCTTCGGTTTCGACTGTACTATATCTTTTTTTGACATTTGTGAACCGATTTTTTTGTTGGAAAGAGGATACCTCGGGATCCCATTTAAATTTGAAGTAAATGTTCCACCTCTGACGGTGGCAAACTAGGATACGAATCTCGTTACGTGCACATTCCGGTAACCGATTTCAATAAAACTTGGCAAATTGAAATAATTCCGCTAACTTTTGAGGTCAGTTGTTTTTTATAACAAAGTTACAATTATTTAGGTTTTTAAATTGTAGTAAGGTAGTTAAGTGGCCTCTCAATGACCCCCACCCCGCCCTCGAGCATTTTACATAGTGATCTATTTGAATATTTTTATTTGTGTATGAACATTGACTTACAATTATATGGACGTCGGGTCCGCGCTAAAAAGTGTCCGCACTTGTAAGGCGCTAAAATCGTATACAGAGCGCCAAACTCCGCTTTAGTCTTCATTTGTTCGACTGACAGCGCGATACTGCTGTAGGGAGAGCGTACGACGGAGACGAATGAGACAACTCGATGCTTGATTAACACTGAATATAATAAGTAATAACATTGATGTAAATACATGGTGCTTAACAATAACAATTCTTATACTACACTTTCCCCGTTACAAAAATAAAATAAAATTTATATAATTTCTATTTTATTTCTATCGTTATACAAAAGAAATACTTATACATACGAATATATTTTCTTATAGCATAGTTACAAAGGGTAATATAGTTGGTTACATTTTATTTTGTTTAGTAGTCAAAAAGCAATATATTATTCTTATTAATTTTTTAATAATAATTATCATTATTTTGTATACAATAAGGTACTTAAATTAATTATGTGAGTACCTACTTTACTTATGTATTTTACATAATATAAGGTTTTGTGCGATTTTTGTGTACTATTTCTTCCTTATTGTTTCTCATGATTTTAACGTTACATCCTAAATCTTCATTAATTAAAAATGGACCCGAATATGTACTATCCATTTTATTGCCTGTTTCATTTTTAAGTAGCAGAATTACCTTTAGTGTACGTCACTGGATTAACATATACGTCATAGGCCTTCTTCCGTTTTAACTTATTTCCTAATAAGTTCTTCCTTGCATCTTGCTGTGCAACCTGTAATCTATATTTTAATTCAAGTGGATAACTATCGTAGTTATATAAAGGATCTATACCGGAATCTAAATTGTTCGGCAATTTGCACGACTTTCCGAATACCAGTTCATGCGGTGTGTACCTTGTCTCTGTATGTACCGTATTATTGTACGCGAAGCACCAGAACGGCAGCCAGCTGCTCCACGAACATGTTCGGTTAAGGCAATTAATACGTAAATACGCACCCATAGTTTTATGTGTATTCTCGAGCGCTCCTATGGACTGGTGGTGGTACGCTGTTGAAGTAAGGTTCTTAATTTTTAATAGTTTACAAACTTCGACCATTGTGTTTGAAATGAATTCAGATCCACGATCTGTTGCAATTTCCCTGGGTATACCAAAACGCAAAATAAAATTATTTACAAAAGCAGATGCAACCGATTTAGCATCTTTTGTGTGTAGCGGATATGCCTCTATGAACTTTGATAGTTCACACTGTAACGTGAGAACGTAAGTATGACCGGCATTATCTGTAGGCAGAGGACCAACTATGTCTAAATAAATCTTTTCAAATGCATAACTTGACGTACTGGTTATTTCCATAGGCTGTTTGATTTTATTTGAATATTTTTGTTTTTGGCAAAGGTCACATTTTGCTACAAACTCCTGAATATCCTTATCCATACTAGGCCAGTAATAAAACTTTTTTATATTATTTGACATTCGCCTAATACCCGCGTGGCCACTAGTGGGCAACAGGTGAAAGTCATTGATTATTACTCGCCTATCATCTACGTTATTTATTCTTTGTACGCTTTTCAATACACAGATTCGTGGTCCGGACCAATCTTTCGTTTCTCTTATTTCATTTATTATCTGTGCAATAAAACTTTTATTATTCTGACTCTTTATTATGCATAATTCCTTTATTTTTGTTTTCATACACAAGTTGCATAGATCTCTCACCAACACGTCTCGCGTAATCGATGATCGAGATAATATTCCAGTAAAATAAATTTTACTCTTACTTGGTACATAAATAAAATAATTTGACCTTTCCATAATTATTTCTTTTCTCTCTATGTCTCTCAATTTCCTATTATTTACTAATTCTAACTCAACCAAATGTTCTGGCTTTTTAATTATCTCCACAACTCTCGGTTGATCAGACCTTGAGTTCGGGGGATGATTATCGGCCACCAAATTTGGCGTATCTCTCTTTCGTTCGCTCTCTCGCATGCGTCTCACTTGCCCACGAGTCATAACATTTAAAACTCGTTCATTTAACATTTTTAAATCATCAGACGTTATCAGTATTCTTGATAAGGCATCCGCGGCTGAGTTTTTGCTACCTTTTATGTATTCTATTGTATAATTATATTCTTCTATTTGTAATCTAAATTTAAGTAATCTGCTAGAAGGGTCGCGCATACTAAATAAATATACTAATGGCCTGTGATCGGTTTGGATTTTAAACTTTCTGCCGTATAAATAAGGTCGAAAATATTTTACACTCCACACTATCGCTAAGAGCTCTTTTTCGATAGTGGGATAGTTCTTTTCGGCTTTATTTAGAGTACGGCTAGCGTATGCTACAGGCCTGCCGTCATTATTACATAGCACCGATCCTATGGCGTGTCCCGACGCGTCTGTTTGCAATATAAATTCATTACTCTCCTGAAAATTTGGGTACTGTAGAACAGGGGGTCTAACTAAGGCTGTTTTTAATGAATGAAAAGCATGTTCACACGCTTCAGTCCATTTAAATGTTACGTTTTTACAACACAACCTGTTAAGAGGATAAGCTTTTTCTGCAAAATTGGGTATAAATTTACGGTAATAATTCGCAAACGCCACGAACCTCTTTACGTCATCTGTGTTAGCTGGTTTTGGGTAATTTTCTAATACTTTAGTTTTTTCTGGGTCAGGTAAAATACCTTTTTCTGATATTACATGGCCAAGGTACAAAATTTGCTTTTGTAAAAATTTACATTTTGCTGGATTTAATTTCAAATTGATTTTGCGTAACCGAGACAAAATGTCCATTAAATTTTTATTATGATTTTCGAGGTTTCTACCAAAAACACATAGGTCATCCTGATATACCAAACACTGCTCGTAATTTAATCCCGACATAGCAATCGTAATCATTCTAGAAAACGCATTGGGACTAGTTTTTAGTCCCATTGGTAATCTAGTCATTTGATATTGATTTTTGGTTGTTGTGAATGCCGTGTATTGTCGACTGTTTTCATTTAATTTTATTTGATAAAATCCTTGATAGAGATCTAAAGTAGTGAAATACATTGCACCAGACAACGAGTCTAGAATGTCTGAAATATTTGGCAAAGGAAACTTGTCATCTTGAACTTTTTCGTTTAATTTTCTGTAGTCAATTACTACACGCCATTTTTTAATACCCGTTGAATCTAGCTTTTTAGGTACTAGTAATAATGGACTCGACCAGGCACTCCTACATTCCTCTATTATTCCATCGTCTTGCATACTTTTTATTTGTTTATCTATTTCCGATTTTTGGCTTTGTGGTAAACGATACGGCTTTACGTAAACAGGAGTAGTATGTGGCTTTAATTCAATAGTATGGTCGTATAATGAAGTCGTTGTCAATTTATCTCCTGGTACGTGAAAGACGTCTGGAAATTTGGCACAAATGTTTTCAATAGACTTTTGTTCTTCCTCATTTAGATTTTCAAATTTTAGTAAAGAAAACAAAGACTTGACCCTCTCTGCGTTCATATTCGACTTATTAAAGTGACATAAATAATAATCGCTTAACTTAGAAACGTTTAAATTAAAATAATTCAAAATTACATCCTCATTTCGTGTATTCATTATTTTAAAAGGTATCTTACCATTATGCGGCTGTACTATAATGTTAGCAATGTATACTCCGTGACATAATTCTTGAGAACTAATGACACATTCTTGTTTTAACTTCGTGTCAACATAATGAATTGATTCGCTTCTTGCTGGAATTGTTAAATATGAACTATCTTGTCTCAAATAAGTAATGGGTAATGTGACAGGTCTCTCTAAATTACAAATTCTTAATTCATTTAATTCGAAGTCTATAACTGCTTTGTACTTTGTCAAAAAATCTTGCCCTAAAATTCCATCAGTTTTGCATGGTAATTTATCAAATACATAAAATTTATGTTTTATAGTGTAGGTATCAATTTTGAGCTGTAAATAAATATATCCTTCTGACTGTACGCTTCCACCAACGCCGTTGACGCAAAGTTTTTCTTTATGGAATGGAATGCGTAAACATTTTACTCTATCGTGCTTGACAACTGAAATCGAAGCGCCGGTGTCGATTAGCCATTCGCTTTTGTTGTGCTCATGCCTGTCCAAATTAATACATACTTTACATAAGCTGTTGCACATACATACATAGTCAGACTCGAAAAAAATGATTCAAATGTGACATATTTGCTTGCTCTGATTCATCGCGGTCACGTTCCGTTGCCATGCAGGGGTCACCTGTTGTGGATATAAAGTTCACATTCCTATGGCATGATTGACGGCGATTGCCCTGATACCTACCCCTGTACGAGTTTCCACGAGAAAACACTCTTGGGTTTCTTGGATGATATGAGTACTGTGGCCGTCTGTAATAATAATTTGGTGTATTTACCTTTACGGCGGACTGCCCTCGCGCGTATCCTCTGTGTCCTCCGCGCGCTTTCGCTGCTCGGTGGGGGGGTGTAAACCCACGGGGTTGAGCGGACATGCCCATTACATCCGCTGAGGAAATTATCGTGATCTCTTCATCTTGCGCTGCTTGAATGGCGTCTTTTAGTGTATTAAAATCACGCGCTGCAATTATTGTACTTGTTCTACGGTTCCTAAGCCCGTCGGCAAACCGTTTAATTGCGTAATTTTCGTTTAACGGGCGCAGAACATTATAATGATCAGAATTTCCGTCCGATTGGGTAATAGTTAAATCCGCGAACAATTCAGAAATTTCCTTGCCAAAATCAGCAACAGTGCGTTCATTTTGCTTACATGTTTGAAGTTTCATTTGTATGGCCGATGCTGATTTTCTTGGTAATAATTGTTTGCGCATATCGGTCAGTAATTCTGATATATTCTCGTATTTACTAGATAATTTTAGCTTACCCGATTGAGACAGCCTAGTTTTTAAAATAAAGGAAATTAATTTTTTATTCGATTCGTTATCTAAGGTAGTGGCATAGTACTCAATACTATCAATTAATTCTTTCGTATTTTCTTCTTTGTCACTCATGACTGGCAGAAGACTTAACGCGACCTTCAGATCGAACGTTGCCATTTTTAATATTTCTTCACTTTCTTTTTTTACATTGCAAAGATTCTTTACTTCACTGTACAATAACTTAAAATCCTGACAATATTTATCAATTAAAATTTTTTCTTCTTTACTTTTTAAATGATATACCTTAGTAATAGCATCTATATAAGTGTTATATTGTTCTAATAATTCATTTGCCTCTTTAAGCTTAGTTTCAATTATTTTTCCACATCGTCTTTTAGGTCCAATTTTAATTAAGTAGGTTCTAATCTTTGAAAGCTCTTCATTTAAATTTTCCAAATATTCTGACATACATAAAATCGCACTTACCTATATATTTATACTATTTATATTATATACTTAAAGTCTATAATGTACATATTATAATGTAGTATAACCGTTTATTAAAAAAAAAAATTTTTTTTGTTTCGCACTTAAATTTTCATCATTTTTACCACACTTACACTGATATTGAATGGGGTTTTCACTCACTACTGTACTAGTTTATCAAAGCAATTTGCTTCGTGACAGGAACATCTTGCGACTCAGGTTTCTTCATAAGGAATCGGGGTCGTCGTCGTTACAAGGAATGCTCGCTCCTTCTTACATTTTGTTTAACCGTATTATACCTGCATCAACGCCTCGCTGCACTCTTTTATTGAAACACCTCACACAATATCGGATCATAATGATAGCTCCAACCATCAACAGTATTATGATAATTGCCACCATGGACCACGAAATGATCCCAATATTGGTCACGATATGATTGTTTGTAATTTGGTTGTTAACACCGACTTGTGCGGTGACTTCCGGTTTTTCAGGTATTTTTGAGTTACACATTTTTGGCACTAAAATTTACGTCCACGTCCGTTAAGTGTCGATTAGAATAAATAATATACATTTTAAGTCCGTTGAGCCAAGCTGTAACCGGGCACTAGCTACATCCCAAAAATGGCAGGGTCGCCATGTAGGGAGAGCGTACGACGGAGACGAATGAGACAACTCGATGCTTGATTAACACTGAATATAATAAGTAATAACATTGATGTAAATACATGGTGCTTAACAATAACAATTCTTATACTACACTGCGATGACATTACAATTTAAATTTCGAATAGGTTGACTTGGGACATTTTTTTCGTGGTTTTTGTATTAGACCCGTCGTCCATTTATTTGTAAGTCAATGTGTATGAAAGTAAAATTTGATGAATAATTAGTCATGGAACAAAAGTTGCTGTTTTTAATGTTGGTAGTAGTAAATGCGGCGTTTCACTGATGTGCGGTGAAGACGCTGCACATCATTTATGCATGCAGTCCTCTGTGAAAACTAATTTATATCGGTATGTTGCTCACATTTCGCTATTTCACAAATTGTGTGAACATAAATTTAAAGTTTTAAATTATTCTCATTGATTCGGTAAACAATGTTGTGGTTTTTGATTAATTTGTGCGTTATAATATTTGATAATCGCGAAATAGTGTAAAAAATTTCAACAATCCATCTCGTTTTGCAGGCGTGTACTAACGGGTATTAAAAAAAGACAAAACATCAAAGTCAAAGTCAAAGTTATAGATAATTTATTCCATAGGTAAAATAAATTTACACTGTTTTTTGACTACACAGCAACACTGTTTTTTGACTACACAATAACGGAGCATATATAATATTATAAGATTGTAACAATTACTGCGGTTACCATATGAATGAAAACAATATAAAAAAAGACTAGGCTCAACGATACCTATGTACTTTACCAGGCTGCATTGTCAAAAGATCTTTGCCTTCGCGCAAGAAGTACATAAAATAACATCAATAATTTCAACAACTCGACTGTATTTTTTTTCTTTTATTTAATTTGTTTTTCTTTTTAGTAATATAATAATTATAAATAGAAAACGGAAGGACCCTGGGTCAAAGCAAGCTTAAATGTATTCTGCAACTAATAGCGGCTTTGCCAGCGGCTTTAATTCCCCAAGTATGGATAAATATCAATGGTAAATGCTCAATATTATTATTATCTGCTTACCTTGCTCATTCCCAGTAGGTATAGACTGTTACGTCTGTCCACGGTACTACGGTACTGATACACAAAATTGATATACAAAATTTGGCTTTCACGAGGTTTAAAACTATAGTGAAACAAAAACTTTATACTAAAGGTTATTATACAACTTCTGCGTACTTGGATGACAAAAATCCGTGGTAGTAACCCGTTTAGCTCATGGAGGTGGTCTCGATCTCTGATGTTTCAAATAAAAAAAATTAATTGTAAATGTTATTTACAAAGAGCAACCCCTAGAGTTCCTTGCTCATTCTTCTCAGGGGAATCTGCCTTACGAATGATTGGTAGAGTTTAACCATTGTGACGATTTCAAGTGTAATAATGCTTACCTATGAAATAAAGTTTATTTTGAATTTGAATTTGATACTCTTTGACAAAATTCAACACTAAAGCTAAACACTATCATTATTGATAGTGTTTTGTTTGAAACAGTTTAGAACATGTAGTTGCTGTGAAAGCTCTTGTCTATACATTGAAGTCGTTGGCCTGAGTTTTCTATTTAATAAGCAAACATAATTGAAAACCCTACTACTACATGTTTGTGTCTGAAGTTGAGGCTGCTTTAGTTAAAATACATTAATTTATTATTCATGAAACTGACTACCAGCTGAAATGTCGTTGTAAAAGGAAACTTTAATAAAATATTAATTCGTAAAATATTACTTTCTGTCATTTAGGTTTGAGAAGTAAACCGGAAAAACATCTTTCATTACATGTTTAACTTATCAAGTTGACTTGATTTCGTACATAGAAAAACAAAAGTGAATTATTGAAATACAAAGAAATAATATATTCTTCGTCTCACAAATTTGAAGTTTAATGGACACTTAAGTGAAACAATAAGAAACAAGTGTTTACTTACGTTTTGGGTAAATATCATAAAATGAAACAAAATATTTTGTAATAGCAATATCAAGTAAGTCACCGGAGGAGCAGCGGGAAAAACTGTAAGTGACGGTCTTACAGAAAATATACGATACACATAAGGAAATTGTCTAATGAATGTGCTAATTAGTTTCACGATAGGATGTACTTTACTCGATCACATAAAATCCTGCAAACAGGCTAAAATAAGAGTCTGAAACGAATTATTCAAGAACAAAATATCTAACTTTGCACATAATTTTTATATGGAGATATTTTTCTTTAAGTGCTACAGTGAACCTGCTAAATTTTAGCTTCCAACTGACACCCTATAGTTGTTAAATTCAGATCATCACGCCGTGCCGTCCACTGCCCCGTCCGTCTCCATCGGGCGCTTATTTTATTCTTATTAATAATGATCGGCGTTCGGGTTGCGGGACGGGAGTGGCGGTTCCCCACATCTCATCTCCTAAAATGTATGCTCGCGTTGCAATACCTTAAATGCGGCACGATTATGACAGAATCTCACCTGTGGTAGGATTTTTTCTCTGTGCAATACTCGCATGACTATGTACTGCTGTCGTAAGCTTAGCATTGTCCAAATAACTTATTGGTGAAAAGGTTGTTTACATTCAGCGGATTCCTGCAACCTCCTTCAGGCCATCGGTCCACTTTGTGGGAGGTCTGTCTATACTGCTAATGACTACCTCCTTAACGAGAGAAAACAAATTGCGTGAATTTAACCTTGTGAGACAGACGGTCAGAAACATCGTAGTTAGAAACGAAAAATTGGACCTTGTATGTTAATTTAGACAAATTGGGTTAAAATACACACTTAAACTTAAACTAACTTAAAACCACGCAGCCATTTGTTGTGTTAGTGTTAAGTATTAGATTTAAGTGTGTATAGTGAATCAATTTAATGAATAAATGTTTTTCTTTCTTTCAAAAAGAATAAAAATAAATAAGTTATCGAAACTGATGTATGGAAACAGTCGTTTTCAAAACATCACAAATACATTTAAGGGGTAGTAGACGTAGACGCTTGTATACGATTTCGATGAATATTAATGTTTGCCATTCACGAAATTTAAAAACTAGTGAAAAAAACTTAAAATACAATGGTTTATGTTAGTGAGTGTGTGTGTGTGTGTGCTGCCATGGACACACACATTGACAACCATAAATTACACTCAAACTCACGACCAAAGTAAATGTAGGCCATACAAATATTTCTCCCGGCCTGGGAATCGAAACCGGGACCTCTGCGTGGCAAACCGGCATGGTAACCGTTCGGCCACTGAGGCCGTTGATATTGATATTAGTGATGATTATTGATTATCTATGATATTTTAAATAAATAATTTTTGTGGTAAATGTGTGCAAATGTTTATTTTCAAAGAGCAACCCCTAAAGTGTCTTACTCGTTCTTCTCAAGGGTATCTCCCTTACTAGTGAGTGTTTGTTTAAATGGTATTTTGTTTACTTGAAAGGTGCTTAAAACGATATAATATTTAAGTTTAAAAATGGAGCGTGGAACCGTACATACCTGTAACTAATGTCATTAGAGATATTTCGTAAGTTTATAGACAGTGGCTACCAATTTCCTTTAGATGGACCATCTGTTTGCCGGTTTCAAAGCTATAAAAAAAACATTCGGATTAAATTACACCCATTCGCACGAAGTGCTTTGCCTCACCTTTGCGTATGGCAGAGGATAGGAATTCACTGCCAACACCCGTTTCCCGAAAGGTTCGTTTATTTTGGGGCTATTCAAGGCTATGGTACATGGGCATTTAATTAGGGCTCGTTTCCATTATATCGTGACGGCAGATAGTAGTATTGTTTAAAGTGTCATGGTTTATTAGTATATTTAAATGAAGTTGTTCACATACAGTACAACACGATTAACTGTCGTTCACGACTTTTTTGACATTTCGACGACTGACTGTCGAAACAATAGAAAGAGCTAGAACGACAGTCGTCTGACGAGAATAAAACGTCACGATAAAAATGTGACGATAGATAATCGCAGGTACTATTGTCGTCACGTTTTATTTATCACTGTCTGCACATTCACCGATAAATTGTCGGCGCGATCTAGTGGGAACAACTCTAGACACGACAGTCGTTCAACGACGAAATAAACGTCCACGACACAGTCACGAGTGATAGTCGTGATATGGGAACAGGCTAGACGCGACAGTCGTCCAACCATAAATAAAACGTTATGACATAATGGGTAAGCGCCCTAACGCGTAACATCGTCATTTATAGTCAGGTTATAGGTTTTTTGCATTTTTTTAAAAGTACGTAGTTAGATCTGTTTTACTTTAAAACTCTACCTATTTGTTCCAAGGAAGCAAAGCAGCACAGCTGTATTCTGGATTTAATCGTACTTTGTTCGTCCTAGCATAATTTGAACTTAAAAAAGGTACTAAAATTTTAACTTTACCACATGGTCGATTTGTCTGTGCAATTTTTTTTATAATACCATGTGACGGGACGAACAAGTCGTGCGCCTGGTGGTAAGCAATACTTCTGTCTATAACAGTTGCAGTGTCTGAAAAAGCTCTTTTAAAAAGCTTAGTTTAACTGTTGCGCACGGGTCTTCTTTGCGCGTGTTGGGGATCTTCCACGTTTTCCAAGTTTTGTGAATCTCCTTCGACATGTAAGTTTCACGATTATTTTTACCGTCGCCGTCAGTGAGAGGTTTTGCTATTCAACTTTCACAATCGTAACATAGAAATTAAAGTCATAGAGCTCCACGAGAATTTGAATCGCCGACCTCGCAATTGCAAGCAATCGTTCTCTACGCTTTTGTTAAGCATTTGATAAGCTTCTATTTGTTACTTTGTTATTGCATTGACGATTATGTGGTCCAGTGTATGTGTACCAAAATCGAGTACTGTACGGGTATTGTTGAGTAGGTGCCGGATCGAATTTCCTACAGTAAACAAACTGTTTCAAATTGATTATGCCCACTTCGTAACTTTGGTACTTATAATTCAGGATATTCCCTTTGAGATCAGATAGTTGGTGTGATTGTTTGTAACGTTAAATGTTACATGTAAAGGTACCAATTTTGAAATCGATGGGATATTAGGAAGTGAAGTTCAAAAACTCGAGGACGGTGGTTTGGACGACTAAACTCATCCTAGACTTGAACATGTTTTTTGTGATTCGACTTGCAAATTTTCAACAATAGAGAATTACCGTTGCATAAAAGGCGAATTGCCATGGCCAAGGGATGTTACCAAATGCAGTATATCTCATCGTAAAACTCCACTCGAGTAAACCTTTTTGAAGATTCCCTCTTAGTACAAAGCGTCTTCTTGACTTAGATCGATAGCTTATAATATTGGTACCTAACCCAACGATTCCGCATGACTGTTACGTCTACTACCGTTGAAAATTTTAGTTATCCTTGTGACTGCTATAGACGGCGCGGGCGCTCTGCAATTTGCGTAACAAAACTATTAAATATTTTACGCGATCACTTGCGACCATCAAAATTGCAAGTTTATGGTAGAAACCTATACGGTAAAGTTTTTACCTCTGTCACTTATCGATTTCTAGAAGTAGCGGTCTTAATACAGAGCCTAGTGGCACACCCCTGTCAACAGTAGGATGGTACCATCGGTTTTAGACTTTACTTGTTGCGTACGAAGGTAAATTTTGAACAATTCCAAACTCTAGAATTTGCAGTCCTGATGTTTTAATTTTAAGCGTATGTAGGAAAATTCGAACGTTCATTGATAAGTTAAAAATAAGATATTTTAAATTATTAACTTTTGTAACTATAGTTCAGAATATGGTGATTTGCATTAATACTAGACATAACTGGTCGATGACTTAACCACCTCAATCAGCCATGCCTATGGACCCTTTAAAGGGCCATATATGTTGGTATGTTTGAAAAAACAAATACACGCGCTTTGGGTCCGAATAAATAGTTTCATTTCCCATAAGAAGAGGAATGTCAATCGAATTGAAGGCTCTGGAAAAGTCCAAAAGTACTAGAGCAATTCTATTATCAAAATATTGAGTAAATAATTTCGTCAATGAGATTATGCGATTCAATATCTGTAACCGGACTGCTTAGATAGAATATGGTTTGCTTAAATGGCCAATGTTCATCCAGTATCTGTATACTGATCTCTTTGATATCTAAAGACCTTACCCTATTTCGCGCATTCGTGCTATTCTTCATTTATTTTCTTATTATATGGAGTTATTACTTTTCGTGGCATGTTTCTTGCGAATGTATAAAACATACGTAGCGAGTTTAATTAAAATACTATTATTAAAAGATACGTGGATTGTACCCGATTTGCATCTCATTTTCTATCCTAAGATTGCCAAGATGAAATTGTTACTAAGCACATCGGCCGCCTATTGTGCATTAATTTATTTTAATATACTTACATTTACCGTTCAGATGTAATTGCAAATTGTAATGTGTAATAAAAATATTGCATTGTCATTTCTATTTGTATTTATTTATTAATTATATATTGCTTTGTTTCAGGTAAGTTTTGCGGTGTTAACGGGCTGAGATGATGAAGTTTTGCTGTGGGAAGTCACCATACTCGTCGATGAGGAGTCCGATTAAGTCCATCACGTTTTACCATATTTGTTGTATTAAACAAATTGGCTGTCGATGATGCCAGTGGCAGGAAGTATATTAGTTGCAGACCTGTGTTCAGTCGCACCTAGACATGGCAATAACGGCTGTTTGTCAGTAATGATTTATACTGTTAAGCGATTTTTCAATAACAGTTATTGTAAACTGTTGTTAGATAGCCTGTTATTCTACTGTTATGCGTACAACAGGACAATGATAGCGATGAGTTATGAATATTGTGTAGTGCTGCCAGATGGTTATATTTCTTACATTTTTCGTAACTTTTAATCTTCTCGCGTAATTTGTAATTTTTGTTGTTAAGGCAATTTTCGTTACTTTTGAACAATTTCAACTATATTTGTTATTGTAAATACTAAATAGTTTACGAACGCACCCAAATTAAACAAGTAATTTAGAAATGGCACAAACAACACATTATCAATCAATTTACTGGTTATAGCTTGATTTTTTCTTGAATACTTACTTTTTTTAGGATTTAGGCGTGGGTATATACATATTTTACAGTTAGAATGTCTAATTAATAAACGAACTTGTAAAATGTAACTTGCACGCGAAATGTAATTTTCATTTCAAGGGTGCTGGCAACATCATGGCAACACCGATTGTGTAACAGATAACTATTTGTGCTTCAATTGCGGATAGTAGCGTTAAAGCAAATGAAATTAAATGCTACTGTTAAAAGTTATGGTTGTTATTGACTACAACCATTAACCAATAAATCAAAACAAAATGGAGGCACCAGTTGTATCATATTAATTGGTATTATTCCAATTGCAGAAGCACAAAATCTTAGTTCCAAATATGTGACTTAAACAATAAGATAATAATTAACAATAAAATGTAAAATGAGAATAAGAACTTTATACCGTGCACTGAAAGATTATAATCGTAATATTTGCAAATCGTAATATTGTCCAATCATTTGATTAGCGCGATTTCTCTCTCACAGCTATTGGCTATTGAATACTTTCTTGCTATCGCAAAAACAGAATAGCTGTATAACAACAGCATTTTAGACAGCTGTTCGATAATAAGTTATATATTGCAGAATAATGCATTACATTGTCTGCTATTGTAATAATGACTACTTTTAGTCGCATCGTTCCGGGCCGTAGTGAAATGCTAACCGTCTTTGTCTTTCTTTTCAATTCAAGCCGATTCTAAACAAAGAAATGGTAGGTACCTTTATTAATTTTTGTTTGAAAATTCAATTGTAATGAGAAAGGGAAAAGGAAATGCGTGCTTTACCTCATACAATAAACAATATTGTGGGCAATGAAGAACGACTGTATTTAAAAAGTGTAAAAAGAAGTAGTACTTTATAATGAATTGGTTTCATGAGATAAGATAATCATAATTCAGCCAATGATGTTGCAGTAAACATAAATGTATTTCAAATCACAGATTGAAACATCTTAAAATAATGCTTCTGTAAATTTCATCGGCGTATTGTTTCAAAGAACATTACATAATATTTCAATTTGAAATTCCACTAAATTTTTTATGAAAATATTTTCAATGATAGTTTCGTCTCATCTTTCTAAGGATCTTATTAAGATCCAAGCGACAGGACGTGTATTACGCCTGAAAGGAAGCGTCACGCCTATCCATGACAGTTGCAGTGTCATTCAGAGTTCGCACAGATACGAGGGCCACTGCGTCTGTCACTTTGAGACATAAGTTGACAAATCCCACGTGTCTATAATTTCACCAAACCGGAAGGCTCATATTACGGTTGACATAGGTAAGGTTGTCTATGAGTACCTACTTAAGTCCGGCTGTTATAACAGGGTATTCGGGTAATTGTCGCTTACCATCAGGGGAGAATGTGGCAAACCTCTATTTCATAAAAATAAAAAATACTTTAGGTTTGATGTTGTAGTCTGAATTCTTGTGTAATAAGATAAATGTGGGCTTATAAAATATTTCCTTCATAACGGGGTCCTAAGAAAACGGAGCTTATATTTTTTTGTATGTATTTAATTCTGACATTTACATAATTTATCATGTTACGTGAAATACTATTTAATTAATTAATTTAATACATATATAACTACGATATATCAGGCAAAAGACAGTATTTCAAAACTTACTAACAAAATCTACAGTCAATACCAGTATTTAGTAAAAATACAGAATTACGATTCCAAAAATAACCTATCTTGATATTTTTCAACGAATGTATAATTTAATCAATTGTAATGTGCTAGATAACCAAATATATTATCTGGTCTCAAACATTGGATTGGAAACAGTGTGGACCGCTCGGACATCGACAATGCATCCATAGCAGAATTGAAAAAAAAATTGAGAATACAATTATCAAAACAATTTTTCAATGAATCTGTATGACATATATTATACAATGTCAAAATACTTAAAATAGCTTAACGAACAATTGGCACACGACTAACAGTAAAGCTACACCTAAAACTCTCGACGATGAAGCAGGTATAGGTGGTATATAATATTTTGCATAAAGGTCATCCCAGAAGTTCATTCTCTGGGAGTGGGGGTTTGCGTTCATGGCTTCTGCATTAATGGCCACACCTTCTGTTGTATCAGTACTGCTGTAATAGAGGAAGTTAATGATGTCCCTGGTAACTGGAAGCCATGTTGTGATGCCTGGGGGTGATGGGTTCCTGGAATTACAGAAAAGTTGTTATGAAAGGTCTTATTTGTTACATAAATAAGAAAGAGAGCGAATATAGTAAAAATAGGGATCCAATATTTCTGCCTGCTCACACCAGGTAGAAACCTAGGTTTGATAGTATTTAAATCACAAAATTGGATATATCAAGCCATTAGAAGCTCATAAAAGGCCAATCTATCATAAAGTGCTAACTATCTCCATTATTCCAGATGATGTGACTGAAGCCTGTATATCGAAAAGTTTAGATCTTATTAGTTTGGATTAATGGCTGAATATACTCCTTTAAAACATGGTTTCTTTGTGGTTAACTAATGCGTCAAATTTAATAAAGGGTAAAAGTTAAAAAAAAGGTTAAAAGTAAAATGTCAAAAGTTACTGGTTAAAAATCGGTTATTAAAAAAATTCTGTAGATGAATAATTGGTCAATTTAATAGTTATTGATCGCAACATATTTAGCTTAGTTTATCACAGAGAAATATAGAGTTATTATAGCTTGTATTTAAGAGAGCTGGTGTTAAAGACATTGCTAAATATCAAGACATTATAAGGTTGTTTTTATATAATATCAAGAGACGGGATGAACAAGTCGTGCGCCTGATGGTAAGCTACACGCATGTCCATAACAGTTGCAGTGCCACTCAGAGATTCAAATCGCAAAGATCTGAGGGGCACTGCCACTGCGCCCGTCACCCTTAGACATAAGTTGACAAGTCCCAGGTGCCTGTAATTTCACCAACATCCTTACACCCTTCAAAACCGGAACACAGTAATGCTGACATTACTGCTTAGCGACAGAAATAGGTAAGGTGGCTGGCTTCCCTGGACGAATTCTTTCACAAGGAGCTCTATTACTACTAAAATTAAGTTCTCTAAAGGGAAAGATTCACAAAATAATAAAAAGAGTGACGAATTAAAAAATAACTAAAATGCATAACATACCCAGTGGTAAAGAACGCGGTGAATCTATTAGTTAAAGAGATTCTGACTGGTTCATCAATAGGCCGCAAGTCAATACCCAACAAGAAATTAATAATAATTCCATGTCTTGCACCATTCAGAGGTATTGTCTGATAAAGCCAGTCACTATTCAGAGTTCCTCTATTGGTGAATTCATAAAGTCTGACCTCAGATCTTGATGTTGCTGCCCTTTCTCGGGCTCCTCGAATTACTGAGACAAGAACAAGTGTATCTCCATGATAGTCTAAATAGTCTTCAATTGTACTCATGTCAATAATCCTCTCATTAAAATAGAAAGTACGAATCAATCTTTCGACTGTCGTCAAATTGTTACCGAAATTCAAGTCCACAGGGAGGAACTCTGTGAAATTTGTCTGCATTTTTTGCAGCCAATTGTTCACTGCCGCTTGTCCTGCTCTTAGAGTTCCTTCTCTGTTTGTATAACCAGTAATGTAAGGAATATGACTATAGTTTCCAGATCTTAGCAAATTAATTGGAGCGCCAGTAAGGAATGTGTCGTTGGCATTCAAGTGTCTATTCTCTATGCAAGGTGCAAATAGTGCAGTGTTATTGCGAAGTTCAGTATTAACAAAAGCGGCTCCTAGTAATGTATTTGTAGTATTTTGCAACAATTTTGCTAAATCTGCATTAGATTTGCCTGCATATCCAAGTTTAGCACCAAAATTCCGAGCTGAACTAATAGGGTTATATGAAACTGCCCATGGGGCTAAAGCGGATCCACTTTGCACTACAGCTTTATGTACTAAATTAGTCGCCAACGGTGACATTGTGATGAGATCAACCATAGCGGCGCCTGAGCCGTGACCAAAGAGGATGACGTTATTGGGATCACCACCAAATCCGGCAATGTTGCTCCTAATCCACCTTAAAGCTTGGATTACATCTTTTAAGCCCGCGTTACCGGGTGCTTCGGCAACTCCTAGACATAAGAATCCAAAGATAGATAATCTATAATTTGGTCGGACGACAACAACATTTTGTTCCACTATTCGTGCAAAAGATCTGGGTGGTCCTCCATTAGAATATTCATTTCCTTCAAGCCATACCACTACTGGCCTACTAGAGTTTGCATTAATGGTAAAAACGTTCAGAGTCAAGCAATTTTCATCTCCTATGATGCCATTTTCACTAGGTTGAGCGCAAAATATATCGTTGCTGATGGCATGGAACTCTCCAGGGTATGGTGGTGGGGGTGTTGGGGCCTGAAATTAAAGGAATTTCATTTAAACATGGTTGTAAATTTCCATATTATGGTAAAAACATAATTTAATGGGAAATGAAAATGTTTTTTCGGATCTACATCGCGTATACCTATTTGATTTTTCAAACGTCGTGTCTGTGGAACATGAGAAGAGCCCGAAACTGTTCAGATTAACGGTAACAATGTAGAGCACTTTGTCATCTATACAATACAGGATTTCTTTAGGCATTGTATAAAATATCTAGTTAATATTTTTAATTATTACACACATTACCTTGACATTGTATACAAAATGTAGGTGTTGTATACAATGCAATATAATCACATTGATAATTTACAGAACGTTTTTGGGAGTCCCTTAACCGCATTTAAATATCAGTAATATTTATATCTCCTTGTGAAAGATTTCGTCCAGGGATCTGCTGCCATTTTTACCTATTTTTGCCGCCAAGCAGTAGGTAATATGAGCATTCTGAAGTTCCATTTTTTGAAGGTTTAACGATGCCGGTGAATTTACAGACACATACCAACTTGCCACCTTATGTCTCAGGGTAACGGGCGTATTGAAAGAAAGTGAAAGTGCCCGTCAAGCATTTGCGATTTAAAAGCTTCGAATGGCACTGCAACAGTGGTAGCGTGTCGTTATCAACACGCGCACGACTTCTTCGTTCCCTTACTTGATATCATAAAAAAAAATCTGACATATAAAAAAATCAAAGTTTTAATTAATCATTCAGTTTAAAGGTTAAGTAGTATACAAAAATATTTTTAACATTTTAAACAAATATTATTTGTTATTTAACAATCAATTCTTCTATTACGTATTCTTACAATATAAACTATTGTGAAATTTGGACATGTATTAAATATTCATCATAACACACAAGCACATCCATTACTTAGTGCACCTACATTTAACAAATCCCTGGACATTGCCTAATGCAATTTCGGTATTGTATAGAATCCTAGACCAAGTTTATAACACAGTTCCTACTGACTGTTTAAAGCATTGTGACCTTTACTATTTTTACTATTTATTATTTATTTTATTTTTTCTACAAAAGTATATACAAGTAATCTAATTATTATATATTATTATCTATATGCATACATTGTAATAACGTATGTGTTTATTATTATTATTTATATATTTATTTTATTAATAAGTAGTGTATTTATTTAAAACAATATCATTATACGATATTTTTTTGCATCCCCCGTTTCAACTGCTAAATTTGTATCCTAAGCTTGCCTGGAAGAAATTACTACTTAGCAATAATTACTCTGCGATACTTTTTTTTTGTAATACCAAGTGACGGGACGAACAAATCATGCGGCCTAGTGGTAAGCGACACGGCTATCTATAACAGTTGCAGTGCCACTTAGAGCTTTTAATAGCAAGGGGCACCGCCATTATGCCCCTAAGATCTCACCCTGAGACATAAAGTGCCAGTAATTTCACCAGCACCCTCCTTCCAAACCGGAACACGGTAATGCTCGCATTACTGCTTGGCGGCAGAATAGTTAAGGTGGCAGTACTTCCCTGGACGAACTCTGTCACAAGAATTTGCTGCTTATACTGCTACTTACACTACCACACTACACTAATTTTTAATATGCAATAAAGATTTTTTCAATCATTCATATACAAATAGATTTATAGTACCATGTATTGAAACAGATAAGATAAATTGCGCAAATTCGTGACGGATACCAAATATGTACATTACAATACCGACATTCACACTACAGTCCCAAATGAAAAAAAAAAACAATAAGAATACAATATCAATTTGCCCAAAATTGATATTGTATACACTTGTTCTTGAATTACGTTTACTTTTTTCTTGAATGTACTTAATAATAATAGGTAAAATATCACGGAACTTTCTTTTTTAACTAAATAAGGTAACTTCATCATTATATTAGCCGGAAGGCATCCACTGCTGAACATAGGCCTCCACCAAAGATTTCCAGACTAGCCGATCGGACGCGACGCGGCGGTTACCCGCCGCCCTTACCAGGTAATCCGTCCATCTAGTAGGGGGTCGTCCCACTGAACGCCTTCCGGTTCGTGGTCTCCATTCGAGAACCTTTCTGCCCCAACGGCAACTTAGATTAGATTAGAAAGGTCACTTAGATTAAGTAAATCTATATAAACTTGAAATAGGATTGTTATTTATGTCTTATTCATACTAGTCCGTATATAATTTGGGAATGAAGCGTAATGTGATATTTATATACTATTACAATATTACCTATTTAAGATTTTCCTATCCGTAGTTCGAAATGACATTTTCCAGAAATACCGTTTGGTCGAAATTTGATAATCTCGAAAGTAATTTTGAGAGAAAAAGTTTTTTCTTTTAAACCTAACTTTTTTTTATAACATCAAGTAACGGGACGAACAAGTCGTGCGCCTGATGATAAGCAACACGCCTGTTCATAACAGTTACAGTGCCACTCAGAGCTGTAAATTGCAAAGTTCTGAGGGGCACTACCACTGCGCCCGTCAACTTAACCTAACCTAACCGAACCTAATCGTGTCTTTGTAACCATTCATCATATCCTGAAAGAACAACTGTTTCGTTATAATTCGGTTTTCGGTGTAATGAAAAATCGAACAAACGTTATTTCGGACTAAAAATTTTCGACTTGTGATAGCCCCGACTGTATTTTTTTTTGTATGTATGTTACACGATAACTCCGGCCTGTGAACTGATTTTGATGATTTTTATTTTGTAGGAAAGAGGGTACCTCAATATTGGTCCCATTTAAATTTTAAGGAAATATTCCACTCCTGAGGGCGGCAAGCTAGGGGATGAAACCGGTTTCGCGTACTTTCCGGTAACCGAGACTTTGGAGGTCGGATTTTTTTAAAATAAAAAAGTAACAATTATTTATGATACCGATGGAACAAACAAGTCGCGCGCGTAGTGGTAAGCGATACGTCTAGTATTGGAAATGCAGTGTCACTTATTGCTTTAAATCACAACTTGAGACATAAGTTGACAAGTCCCATGTGCCTGTAATTCATCGAGTATTTAACCACAAATAGAGACGCAATAAGGAACATACATTCCTGGTAACTCATCAATGATACATCACTTATAAATATCAACTTTAATTTGCACTGAAGTTACAAAGTCGAAAGCTGAAATAGTACAGCGCCAACAACTGATCTGTGTGTACGTCTCCGTATATTATTCCAAAAATATTCTATATTTATTATAATAAAGACAATATCTCTAACTACGGGGTGCCGTTCCGTTCGGTGGTGTGGGGAAAAACAGCAAAACATCCAATTACAAAATAAACAGAATCAAATTTCATCGGTAATTAAATGTTAAATATGTAATTTTGGAATTATCGTCCATTATAGCAAAGCAGAAGTTAACTGGTCGATTTGAAGTGAAACAATTGACGACACCCGTCAATTGTTTCGATTTCGGGCTGGCCAATCGGAGCACAGTTGTCACAGTAATGATATGGCAGAATAGTTTTCAAACAAATTAAATGACATTTCGTCTCTTTTTCTGGTTATATACTCGATGCTGTAATTTCACTAAAGACTATATAAGGCTGCATTCATATGCGCGTACCGCGCTGTGCTAGTTATTTAAGTTTCCTACAATCATTTTATAGTTGTCGCCACAGTGAACTTTGATTCTTTACATAACTAAATTAGTAATAATATCTCTTTTTAACCGACTTAAAAAAAGAAGATTCTCAATTCGACTGAATTATTTCTTTTTGTGTATGTTACGCGATTATTTGTAAACAGATTTTGATGATTATTTTTTTGTTGGAAAGAGGGTACCTCAGTATTGGTCCCATTTAAATTTGAAGAAAATATTCCACCTCTAAGGGTAACACACTAGGGTGTGGACCCGGTTTCCGCACTTTCCGGCAACCGATTTCAATGACACTTGGCAAATAGATGAAATTCCACCAACTTTTGAGATCGGTCTTTTTTTCATAACAAACCTAAAATTTTTCGTTTTTCATTCCGTATTAAATAAGTCAGTTCAGGCCACATAAAGTCGATTCAATCAATCAATGATTCTAAAAAAAAAATATTACGATATGCCTTGAATGTTTGCGTGATAAGATTAGGAATTACCTTCTTGAGATTTTGACGTTTTTGACTAAAATGAATTCGTGTACGACGATGAATTAAATGCTTTATTGAATTTCCTAGATCGTGTGAGTACTTACCATGTTTATAGAAACGACTTAGAATATTAATTAACAAACTTATGTTTGCAGTCGTCCAAATGAAAGCAAGTACTGTTATTGACACCCTCTGTGGCCCAAAGCTTTGTTTCGACACTAGATGGGAAGGTCGCGGGTTCGATTCCCGGTAGGATCTCATTAGGAAATAAGCTTTTCTAAATTGATTCTGTTCTGGGTGTTCTGGAAAGTGCCCCAGAGTGAATTCCGTTGTTCTGGTACTCATAATACAGGGAATTACCTCGTTTGAAAATAGACAATTCTGCTTTCGGAAGAAAAAAGGCGCAGCAGCAAAGTCTAATTTCGTAGATAAATGTGTTTAAATATTTGTTAAGTTTTTTGATAAAAAAAATATTTATAATATACATTTGATGTTAAGCACTTTATTTGTGTTATAAATACATACCGTATGTTTTATACAGAAACTTTCATTGTATTTTAATCAGCCGTTTTTAAAAATACCTAATTTTCTCTTATAACTTAGTACAAGTTAAGTATGACTTTTAATTTTTGACTCATGAATAGAACTAAAGGGCACAGTTGTGCGTTTTTTATTTTAATATTTGTATTTGAACTACATAATAAGGGCACAGTTCCGTACATTACTAAATAAAAAAAATTCTAATGTTTTAACGTAATAAACGTCATATGCGACTTTTTATAGTAAAAAATTTGATTATTGAAGTCAGTTATAACCCTTTAAGTTCGCTGTATATTGTACAATAATTAAAATTATATTTCCACAAAAAATAGTTTGATTAGCTTTTAATTCCTGATCTCGAATATGGATGTAACTCAATTTTGATAAAAATGTTAAGTGTTTTTCGTTTGGAGGGTAGAATTGGTGTGTTTGTCTGGCACATTACTACATTAATATTATTTCCTTTCATACAGAAAAGTATATTTTACCAACTGCAATATTAAATTTGTCGGCTTCAACGTAACGTTAACATTTACTCATAATTGTCATCAGTCATGCGCTATTTTCTGTCTCACTCACTTATCTGAAGGTGCATTTTGCATCCTTGTCCAGTTTTTGTCAACAGAAAGTTAAGCAAACAAGGCAGACGTTGAAACGTAATTACTTAGGCACAGTGAGTTATATAATTTGGTCTTTGAAAAAGTAAGCGTTGGATTTTGTAGTTAAAGAAAAGGAATATAATACAGATGTTAAACTTCTCTCCTTTTATTATATCATAAATAGAGACAGCTTATTACTTCATGGTCCGTGAGTTTAGGCGCAATTGGGCGTAAACAAAAAAAAACATGTAACAGGGTATTTATAAAATATAGGGTCTACGTCATTACCAGGGATCGGAATAGGTAGAGTTTTTTTACCTAAACTTCGAGAAACCTAGACAGGAAATGGAGATTGCTTTACGACAATATCATTTAGGTCCTGGACCTTTTCGGGATTCGGGAAATCAGTTAAGAACATTAAAAATCGACGTAATTGGGGCAGACAGGTACACTATATTTATCTTAACTTTGCGACGCATAGAAGATAGATCTAATAATACGTCTGTAGTGATTCCAAGACTGGATAGATTAAGACTTTGTAATGACGGGGCACTAAAAGTGTGGTCCCATAATTAAGTGATGGCTTTTAATTATCGGATCTAAACAGCGTATATTTGTTAAAAAAAAAATTTTTTTAGGAAACAAATATAATGATTTAGTTAGGAAAACAATGTTTTGTTTCATATACGTAACAATCATGAAAACCTAAGAACTCGACTTTAATAATTTATCAGATTTTAATGTAATGCAAAATCAAAAATATTTAATAGTCGAGTATCGACTCAACTGGACATATTTTTTCCCATACCAATACGGTTCATTTCCCTTGGATTAAGTGGCAGGGACACTGACTTCGTTTAAAATTTTTTATACAAAGGACATTAAAGTCATTTGAAAAATATATAAGTTCAGTTGATATAAAAAAAGGTATTATACAAAGTACCTATTGAATATTGCGGTTTTCTTATAAAATTTAGAGGTAAGTTTATGTTTTTATATCACGAAAATTTTTAGGAATGTGTTGTCACATCGTGTAGTAATCAGATCTTCAATTTTATTATATATTTTTTCCAAAGTAATAGATTGGAATCGTTCAAAGCCATTTGAAGTTGTATCAATTCTTAAATAGATCACTTTAAACCATTATAACGAACTACATGGTCGAATATTAAATCAACAAGACGATGTATTTCTTAGTCATCTGTTGCTGAATCATTGACCCATGACTAAATAAATAAATCACTATACTAGTTTCACACATTTCGGTACTTTTGAAGAATAGAGGCCTAAACCACAATAGCACTAATTTGTGTCGAACGTAAAGAAAAATTTCTTCGATCCGGTTGGTCTCGAACCAGCGACTTCGCCATACCGTGGCTAACGCTCTCTCAACTAAGCTACAGAACGAACTAGCAGACCCTACGAATTTTTCTATGCGCTTAATGCAGATATTGATTATTGGTGTTAACGACTTTTATGTAGTAGCGCCATCTATGAGAAATCTATGAAAGTTTTTCATCACTCAGTACTCTTCATATTACAGTAGTACTATTTTTGAGTTTTATTATACAGCCATAATTGCCCTTGATGTAATAAGGTCACATCTATAAAATGATAACTTTTCATGAGAGAGAATGATGAGAATGAGATTTTATGCTCGAATAGAAGAGATATAAAGCCTTATATACCTATACGTTATTTGTTCCATGTAGTTCCTATTATTTTTCTGAGTTTCATGTGATACACTTTTGACGCAAGATCACACGTGGTTTTATCCTACAATGAGTACGAAAACCGAGCTTGTAACAAAAAATGATTTAACGAAAATGAACACTGGGTATGGGACAGACGAGTTAGGTAGGCAGGTAATTTTTTAAGCCAACTCGGAATCAGGGGTTTTTGACAAAGGACACTATTCCAGAAAGCCATCGGTTTATAATAAGTTCTGTACCGAATAATTTTTACTACAGAATGTTTTAAAGAGGCTCTTAATTAGCATTTCAAATCTTCTGGTGAAATTATGGGCACATGAGACGTGTCACCTTATGTCTCAGGGTGACTGGCAGGCGCCCCCAAGATCTTTCCGATTTAAAGCTCTGAGTGGCATTGCAAGTGTTATGGATAGGCGTATTGCCTACCAACGTCCCGTGACTCGGTATTATAAAAAAAAAATAATTAAAAATCTACTACAGTCAATCTTAGCATGTTTACGCACTTCGTCCGGTTCGTGATCGTACCGAATGCGAGACAATATGAATATCGCTTGTATACCTGGACATAAAAAGATCCCTGTGACATTTCTCGGATTTGGAACTGATACGAGCCAGATGTAGTGCGCAAATGCTCTTAAAGTCAAAGAAAATATATTTTAATAAAAAAAAACAAACGACGATAAGAAGTAATGTATTTACCATTGCCTGATATTTAGCATTCTAAAGCAATGTTTGTAAAAACGTCTGAATTCGGAATATGGAGTTAAAGTGCTTTACCTTGCGCCTACAGAGTTTCATGTAGGTGTAGTAATGTAGATATAAGATCTACACCATGTGCGGAAAGTTAAAAAACATGACTGACGGTATATTTAGTCAGTAGTACAAAAAAATCTTTATTAATTTTTATCTGAAAATTTGTTGCAAATCTGGCGGCCTTATCTTAAATACACTTCGGTTAATTAGAGCTTTGTACATAGTTCGAGTTATTAGGTTTTTGTGTTACCTGGGTAAGGTATTTAGGATATAAAATGATTTTTTCGAATTGAAAATCACGTAATTTGTTTTTCGAATAAACCAACATTTCAAAGTTTTTACAGGTACCTACCATTCACGGCTGACAAAATATTTGATAAATATTCAATTAAAAAGTAAATACTGAGTCTTACAAATTGCGAAGTTTAAAGGTTCATATTGATAAAATAGTTTAATTTAAATCTGAAATCTTACAGCAGCGGTAGTTCAATTAAAGATTAATTACTTTTTAATCTTTTTTGAATGTATTTAGAGATAAGAGTGTGACAAATGGAAAAATTATACCTACTTCTTAAGTCTCTTACATAATACGGACCAACATATTTATATTTTATTGTTTTAGTTACGGGCGATCTGTTGTTACCATAACCCAAAAAAAAGATATTTGTTAATTGAATTTATTATTCATTTAAAAACTATCTTCTAATACACTCTCAAACACTTTAACTTAAAGCGTTTGAGAGGTGATTCTTCTAATATTCTGCAAATAAACTAATTCTGCAAATATCAGTAGGTCTTGTAAATTCAAGATGCATTTTAATTGGCAATTATTTAAATTATTTGGGAAGAAACGAACTGGCAAAAACTGGACAGTACAGCCTTTAGGTTAGGTATTATCGGGCAACACGGTAAGCAAAAAATCATTCTCCATCAATGATACGCTACGTAGATAACCTAAGTCTTATATAATTGTAGACAGAAAGCTAATTCTAACATAAAATACTGGTATTTACCTTGAATCTATTTACACCGGTAGTGGGTCCTCCATAATGAAGTCCATAGAAGTTAAAGTAGTTGCCATCAGTCGCCTGAGTACCTACTACAACACCTTCGGTCGTATTCACTCGTAATTCCTGCGCATGGGCTAGCGCCGCACACAGTAACAATATCAAGAGCATAGCGACACGTCTGTCCTCCACAACGTTCCGATAACGAATGAGTGAAGTTTGCTTGACCAGTAACTCCGGTAAGGAGTAGACGATGACTAATTTCATAGGGTGATTATCTTTTATTACTTTTATAGGACAAGTTTTGTTCTGTGTGGCGTTTTTGCTGTGTGCATTGCATACTTGCGTAGTGAAAAGCTTGCGGTGAACAATTTAGACGTTGGAATTTAATTAAAAAAAAATATTGTTTTAATGAACTCATTGGGTAGAGGTAAAGAGTTACCTATCAGTAGTCCGAAATGACATTTTCCGGAAATAACGTTTGCTCGAATTTTCATAACCTCGAAAGTAATTTTGAGAGGAAAATGTTTTTTCTTTTAAACCTAACTTAACCTTTTTTTTTGTATACACAGCAAAATGCGTTACGCATACCCCGCCGCGGGTGATGTCATGGCGGGGTTATGTGGGACTCTCCTCCGCGGACCCACCCGACGATAAGAGCTCGCCCGATGGACCCTCAGAGACCTAGCCACTAAAAACCTATGTATGCACCCGCTCCCACCGATGCTGGCTCGTGGGATCCCGTTAGGAGGCTCCACGCAAAAACCTAACTTAACCTAACTTAATCGAACCTAATCGTGTCTTTGCGATAAACATCCAACATATCCTGAAAGAACAACGGTTTTGATATAATTCGGAAAAAAATCGAGTTTGTGATAGGTTACCGAGGTAAAGAATCTTAAATCACAAATCGTAATTGTTACTACAGAGCGTTATAAAGAGCTCTTAGTTCAGGCATTTGTTTTTTTTTGTAATACAAGGTGCAGGGACGAACAAGTCATGCGTCTGGTGGTAAGCGATACACTTGTCCATAACAGTTGCAGTGCCCCCCAAAATTTTAAATCGCAAAGATCGAACGGGCACTGCTACTGTGCTGTCACCCTGAGACATAAGTTGACAGCTCCCATATAACTGTATTTAAAAACCGGATCTCAAAGCTCTCATTACTGCTTCGCGGCAGAAATAGGTAAGGTGGCAGTACTTTTTTCTCTACTGCTACAGAATGTGGGTGTATCGCTAACGATAAGTAAGTCCAAGCGATCTAATAATTGCAGAGATTTATTATAGGTACTAAAATAGGATGAACACCGCGAGTCTATACAATGGCAGAATAAGAAAAAAATGTGAAAATACAAATTGTCCCACAAAATGCAAGTCACATATCTACCCTAACGACGTGTGTGAGTAAATACAAGCGAACTATACTTTATCAGATAAGTAGATATCGTATCAATGAGGCCAGATAGGTATAGCTGAGCCTCGTTCTTCTACAGGAGGGATATATAATTATTTGTACGCATTGGAAATTATAACATACTTAGTTTGTACTGACATTTTGTTACTTGATTGAAACGTTTTATGATACCAGTCGTTACAGCGCTCTCCATGAAACATACGAGATGGAACCAAAGTCCAAAAAATGTAAACAAACAACTGGCAAAGTGACATCTCATAGATCATAAACCTTTTTCAGATTCGTTTACGAACAAGTTCTATATATTTTGGAGATTATCTTATTTATTGACACCCTATGTGTTTAAAAAAACATGACTAAATAATGTTTTGTGTGAATATGCATACAATTTAAGAATTTTTTTTCTATCTTGTGTTATTACTTAAACCTTGTAACACTTCCATAATTCTTAAAATAGTTTTTTTGTAATGATGTCACCTTTGTTTACATATTTGGATTGCAATTCGCATTAGAGTACACGCGCTGTTCTGAGTGTCGAAACAAAACTGTTGAAAATACTTTATTTATTGCTTTGTGTAACCGTACACCTTCCTTCCTTGGTAGGAAAATCATAATTTCTGATATGTTATGAACACGTAAACGACAAAGCATTACTACAATACCTACCCACCATCTTGGTAATGATATCAATTTTTATTTTCATTGATAACCAAATTCCTAGGTTTTCGTGATCGTTACATATAGGAAATTAAATTGTAATCAATAAGCATGGATACCAAATAATTATCATGATAACTGATCAATTAGAACCCTGTAATGGATATTTCCATAAACTATTACCAATAATACTCTCAGATTTTGTTTTTTTTTGTATACTCCAATACTCACGGCCCATAAAGAGAATCTTCAAGTTTGAATTCAGATAAGTAGTCTCCACCATTTCGAAAAGGCTATTTTTGACGAATAAAAGAAGAGAATTGATTTCGGGAACTGAATGCACCCCGTATAAGTTAAGTAATATAAATAAAGGGAGATAGGCAACGGTTAAATTCAAAGAACCCATACCGGCTACCTGAGCCGCCATTTTTATTCCAAGAACCGAATTCTTCCTTCAAGGTTATGGTGATTATCGCTGTTCTAACCAAAAATATGATAACGAATCTTTTGTCTTAATTGAGTAATGTATATTTTTAGCTATTCATGAGTGTATTCTTTCATAGTACAGCAAGGAAAATGTTTAAAAATTTAATTATTTTATGTTACAGATGAGAAACGAAAAAACGTAGAATATAATATTTTTTATAGGAAATGAAACTATTTTTTCGGATTGAAGTGGCGTATATTTGTTTTTTTTTTCAAACAAACCGACGTTTCGGGCCCTTTAAAGGTCCCATGGTCACGGTTGACTGAGGTGGTACAGTCTTCAACCGGTTATATCTAATATTAATGCAAACCACGATAGTTACAATAGTTATAAATTAAATACCTCATTTTTAATTTTACAAAGAAAACATTCTGTATATTCAATAGACATAGGTATTATGTTTCCTTAGCTTTCTACGTACAATTTCAATGCAGTCTTTTACTGGTAGATTGGTAAACAACGACTGAACATCAAAACTGACCATGGTGTCATCATCAGTTAACCGTAGATCTTTGATTCCACTGATGAAATGGTATGAATCCAATGAAAGTGTTCCCCCTCAACGGTGACAGTACACCGTCGCGTAAACAAGTCTGCAGTCTGCGAGCATGTCATGGATAAACCTACACATTCAATGAAGTTTGACTAACCCCAGGTCCTTGCAAAAGAAGTGCGTTATCTACCCAGAATGCTGCGAGAGGCCATTGAAATTAAAAAACATCCTAATTTCAACAGGGAAGATGGTTTCTCCGTACCACCAGTTTGGGATCCAGTATTTCCTCTGATGAAATATCCCAAACAGACATAAGACTGCAGTACTAATTAATGTTTTAGTTTATTCTAATTTCTATTATTAATTAATAATAAATTGAACTTAATAAAAATTCATTCAATAAAATAATTTGTAAAACTTAACGTAGCGTAAATTGGAATGTTTTCTGTAAAATTAAAAATAAGGTATTTAATTAATAACTATTGCAACTATAGTGAAAAAATAGGGTGGTTTTCATTAATATTAGTCATAACTGGTTGAAGACTGTACCACCGCAGTCAACCGTGACCATGGGATCTGTAAAGGGCTCGAAACGCCGGTTTGTTTGAAAAAACAAATATACGCGATTTAAATCCGGAAAAACAGTTTCATTTCCTATATGTAACAATCGCGAAAACCTAAGAACTCAATATCATATTTTTATTTTTATTTTATTTTATGTACAAAACAGTTTACATTCAGTGGAACATGTTGAGAGACAAGTTATGGTCTTAATCTAGAATGTAGACCAAATACTTGTACATGAAGCGTTATTATGCGAAGTGTAAACATATTGCACAAGGATTTAAAAAAAGGAAAATTGAGAAAAAGTGGAAAAGTGAGATTACAAGTTAAAACTAATTCAACTAAAGACTAACATAGATATTAATTTGGCAGTACTAATGGGAAGACGAGTCGAAATATTTGAGGAGATTGGTACGAATTCGACAAAGATTGTTGTCGAAAACATCAATGTGACCTTCAGATTTTGATATTAGTAAATCATTGTAGGTTCGGCACATTCTAGTCACGGGGTTATAAAAGGATATATTATTTCAATAAACATTTAACACAAAGGTTTTAGGACGACGAAGATTTGGTTTAATGTTAAAGTTAATGTGAGATAGCAGACCAGGAGAAACGAGGCTACCGTGTACGTATTGAGTTTAGTTATTTACCCCTGGACACATAATTTCAGAAACTACAGCCTTCGATCTTCGTTGCAAGTGAGCTTTGAGGAGCGACTTGTAATAAATTATGCGATTTTGAAACTACCAAAAACGTATTTGATAACGACATCCGCCGTGTTTTGACTTTTTTTTTATTAAAAAAATGACAATTTTAAAATCATAACGAAGCCGTGGTAGCATAATGGTTATGGTTTGACCCAGCGTCTCTGAAACAGAGAGCCATGGGTTCGAAACCGTATGCACCTCTGAGTTTTTCGGAAATTTAATTTGAAATTTACCATGAGCTTTTCAGTGAAGGAAAACATCGCGACGAAACCTGCGAACATCTGCAAAGCAATTTAATGAAGTGTGTGAAGTTCTCAATCAAATGAGAGGAGGCCTGAGCCCAACAGTTGGACTCTTATGTTATATAGGCTTTAGTACCAGTAGAACTCCTTGTGAAAGCCATCTCGTGCTGGAGATGCAGAAAACAAAACTGTGAAGCTTTGGCTTGAAGACTACTGCACAGTCTTCCAGGCAGAACTCCTGGCATTGAAGAAAGCTATGGAGATGGCAGAAAAGACCAAGGACAAGAAAACAGCCATTTTTAATGACTCACGATCGGCACTGGACCTAGTCTCCAATTCATCAGCTTTTCATCCACTCCCACATAAAACCAGAGAAACCGCAGCAAAAATAAAGAAAGAGGTGTGGAAGAGTTCGTCCAGGGAAGTACTCCACCTTATCTATTTCTGCCGCAAAGCAGTAGTGTGAGCATTACTTCGTTCGTAAGGGTGCTGGTGAAATTACAGGCAACTTATGTTCAGGGTGTCGGGCGCAGTGACAGTGCCTCTCTGATCTTTGTGATTTAAAGCTCTGTGTGGTACTGCAACTGTTATAGACAGGCGTGTCGCTTACCATCAGGCG